TTTATTTAGAGACAGGGTCTCACTGCGTTGTTTAGCGCCTCGCTGTTGCTGAGGCTGGCTTTGAACTTAGGAATCTCCTGTCTCAGCCTCCCGAGCCACTGGGATTACAGCCATGTGCCTGGTGCCCAGCATGACCCTATTTTTGAATGGAGGAGAGTGAGGTCCAGAGAGGTAGGTGACTTGCCCAAGGAAGCACAACTGGTGAGTGGTAGAGCTAAAGTGTGAACCCAGGCACGATCCCCCCGTCCCCCAGCCTCGCTGCTTTGCTGCCCACAATGAATAGATGAGCTTGTGTTGGGGGAAAGAGAAGATAGTGCTGGGGTCAGTTCAGGCACCACACATTCACCCGTCTCCTACCCTGAGTCTACTGAAGTCCCTCCTGATGGTCCCCAGTTCAGAGCTGGCTTTTGAGATCTGTTGACTTTGTCAGATACTTGACTTTGGTCCCCAGAAATCCAGGCTGGAGACCTTGATTCCCCAAAGGCCGAGCCTGGGCCCAGGTGCAGCAGCCAGCTGGGTCCCAAGCTCAAAGGATTTCAGGGGTTGGGGTGTCTAGGTTATCAGCTGTAGGTGCCCCTACTGAGCTGGGGGTGGCAGGGAAGTGAAGGGAGGTGCCTACTGCTGCCCAGGGACTGTTCTCATACTCGCTGGGCTGGAGCAGAGGAGGGCAAAGGAGGACTCCTTGATTCCAGTCCTGAGCAGCAGATAAGAGTGGGCTTGGGTGCAGGCCCCCCACTAGCTAAGGGAGTGGCTTTGTGTGGGCAGCATACTCCTGAGCCTGTTTCCTCATCCAAGAGTGCAGAGCATCCTTGTGGACCTTCAGGGTGTCTGAGGGCTTTGCATCGGGCCCAGCAGGGAGCAAGTACTCCATAACTCGTTACTGCCCTTACTTTTTTATTTTTTAACTCCTTTTTTTTTTTTTTTGAGACGAGGTCTTGCTCTGTTGCCCAGGCTGGTCTGAACTTCTGGACTCAAGGGATCCTCCCACTGTACCCTCACTTTTATTAATTATTTAACTTTCAAGTAACCATAGCCACGTTTCATGGGTAAATGACCTCTCTCATGCCCGCACACCTCTGGGCCCACTTCTCAGAGATCCACTAGCTCTGGAGCTGTGTGACCTGAGATATATGATTTCTCCCCTCCGGGCCTCAGTTTTTCTGTCCATAAAATGGGTGTCATCACTCTTGCCTCAAAGGGATGCATGAGGCTTAAGTTAGTGTAAAAGTCACCCTTCTAAGATTCAGTTTCCTAATTTGCAAAATAGGTTAATTATAGTGCTTGCTCATAGGGTTGGCTGGATCAGAAGAGGCACACTGGTGTTTGGAACACTGCTTGTTACATGGCAAGAGCTTCCTAAACTGTTGCTTTAAAAATGAGCCCAGCACAGAGCAGATGTTCTCAAAACGAAAGCTGAGTCCAAGCCATCTTCTGAGACTTTAGTTTTTATTCACTAGGATACCCTATATTCCATTATATAGAATATTTTCTCCATAATGTCATTATTTTCATGTCCGGTACCATATTTGTTCTAAATAAGGATTTTCTATGCTACTTGCTGCGCCCCTCCCCTGACTCAGGCAAAAAGGCAAGGCCCTACTGAGGTGGATGGTGCAAGGCATCCATCCTCTGGAGGAGCGCAGTATGTTTCTGGGAATGGGCTGGTTTGGTTTTGTATTCCATTAATAAGTATAGTTGCGACTTCTCATATGACCATTAAGTAGAAGGAAAAAACATGACTTTCCCAATTAATGCAACTACTTCTAAAGAATACATCTGTTTGCTCTAAATGCAATGATTCAGCTGTGGAATGCAAATTGTTAATGTTTAATGAAAAACCCCCTGTAGGAAAAACAGTCAAGGAAGTTTCTGAGAAATTAAATTAAAATCTAGAGAAGAAGAATTAATGTTAAGAAGACAGATTAGTGCTTAGTACTGGGCAACTTGTTCTTATTCCTGTGCACAATGGTTTGGTGCTCTTATTCTTGTTTGATTAAAATTAGTAGCCTCTCGGGCTGGGGATGTGGCTCAAGCGGTAGCGCGCTCGCCTGGCATGCGTGCGGCCCGGGTTCGATCCTCAGCACCACATACAAACAAAGATGTTGTGTCCGCCGAGAACTAAAAAAAAATAAATAAATATCAAAAAAAAAAAAATTAGTAGCCTCTCTTTTCAAGTTAACCACTTGCCATAACCCTGGCAGTAAGTCAAGAAAGAATAGTCAAGGTATAGGCCAGTAGTCTGGGACATTTCTAACTATTATTAAAAGCTAACTAAGCAGAAACAGCTCAAAGCAAAACATGAACTGAAAGTAAAAATGCTTGCTTATGCATAAGCCAAGATACATTCTTCTTATCTAATTGTAGCTACTTAATATTTTGTTTCTTTGAATAAGGATTCCTGTTTTGTAACCACAAAATACTATGAGCCTGCCAAAATGAAAAGTAAATATGATTAACTTCACAAGTAAAGATCGGGATTCAGCACCTTCACTTTTGTGTCTGTGTTGTTTCCTCTACCCACTTTCACCCACTCCTCACCATCTGTTCATAGACCCCTTGTTGGAGCTGGACTCACACAGCTTCTTCCTTTCTCTCTCTCTCTCTCTCTCTCTCTCTCTCTCTCTCTCTCTCTCTCTTTCTTTCTATACTGGGGATTGAACCCAGGAGTGATTTTACCACGTAGCCACATCCCCATCCCTTTTTTTGAGACAGGGTCTCTCTAAGTTGTTCAGGCTGGCCTTGAACTTGCCATCCTCCCACCTCAGCCTCCCAAGTCACTGGAATACAGGCAAATTCCACAGGCCTGGCTCTATGCTACTTTTTCTATCCACATGGAAAATGAAGAAAGAGTTAAGTAATAATTTAGGTCTCTCATTTCCCCCCTTTTTTTCTTTTCTTTTGGAAACAGGTCTTGCCATTTTGCTGTAACTCCTGAGTGCCAGCAGTCCTCCTACCTCAGCCTCTCAGTATCTGGGGCTGCAGGTGTGCACCATTATCCCTGGCAGACTTAGGTATTTCTTTTTGGTTTGTCTGAACTTGTTGAAGGAGAGATGGGTTTCATGCTATTGCATTATGATTATATAAGTTTCGTTGTAATATAGAGTGAAATTTACATTCCCTTAGTATTTTGCAGTGGGCAAAGAAGCTTCATGTCCATTGTATTATTTAATCCTAATGTGCCTGAGTTCGGTGGTTTTGGTTTCAATTGTACAAATTATAAAACTGAGGCCCAGAGAGAGCAAAACTTGTCTAAGGTTGCAAGGTGAGCTGGGGTAGTGCCAGCCTGGGACTGCCATGTACCCTCAAACCACAGCATCCTCCCATAGTGGACTCAGAGCTCCTCCAGGGCGGGGCAATGTCTCCTGGAAGGCCTGTGTACCACGCCCCGACCTCCAGACAGGGTGCGTGAGGGTGTCTCCCCGTACTGCCTGGCCCAGGTCTTTGCAATCAGTGGCCTTGTGATCCAGTATTTATTGAAAGTCCACTAGGTACAAGGATTCCTCAACCTTCAGGTGCCCGGACTCCTGGTGGGAGATGTGACACTGGCGGTTGTTTTCGTTTGGATTTGTAGCTGGGCATTAAACCCTGGGGTTCATTCCGAGTGGATGTTTTTATACAGGTCCAGACAACAGCACTGCCTGGGCAGATCCAGGAAGCTGCTCTAGGAGAGGGCTCTGGGTGACACCTTGAATGAGAGAGGCGTGCCCGAGGAGGGGGTGCAGCGCCCCAAGCAGAGAAATGAAGGTCACCGCTGGACCCCAGCACCCTGGGAGGGGATGTGTGCTGGGCCAGGGGCTCCAGCGAGGACAATCCAACATTTTCTTGCTACAACTACCCCTGGCCCTCCCCAAGTTGGCCGGGCCCAGGACCTCTGCAGCCGCTCTGCCGGGCTCAGGAAGTTGACCACGACTTCTGCTCTCGGGATCGGCTTTTGCCGGTTTCTACCACCAGCTCAACAAGTCCCGGGACGTGCTGTGGCGGGTGGGAGCGACCCTTCCGCCTGCGGGGGCGACACGTGCTTGCGCAAGGCCAAGTCCGGCCGGGCGGGCGCGGGGGAGGCGGCCGGCCCCGGTGCCCGCAGCGCCGCCCTCCCGGGCTCCCGGGCCTCCTCGGGGCGGGGCCGCCTCCCGTCGCCCCTTTATCTGCCGCCCTCCGCGGGCCCGCGCCGCCGGCTCCCAGCTCTGCCCCCCGCAGGTGAGGCTGGCCCGCGGGCGCGGCCGAGGTGCTCCCGGCTCTGCGCGGTGGGGCCGACGGGAGGGAGCGGGCTTGGTCGGGGTGCAGGGTGGGGGCGCTCGCTAAAGGAGCCCCCGGAGGGAGGGGCGGGAAGGAGGCGCAGAGCCGGGGACGCTCCTGCGGGAGGGTGGGAGGCAGCACGCGGAGCCCCTGGGCGGGGAGGGGAGGACGCGCCCGCACGCGACATGTCCCCGAATCCGGGAGCGCGCGAGAGGCCTGGGCGGGGAACACTTGGGGGGAGAGTGAAGGAGGGACAGCGGAAGGACCGTGCAGCGGTGGCAGGGTCCCGGGAGTGGGCGGGGCTGGCCTGGCTATGAGGAGGACCTGGAAGACCTTAGGCCGGGAGCCGGCCCCACCCAGCAGGGCCTCCCACCGCCGGCCCCCCTCCTGGAGGAGGAATCGACGTGATAATGGGGCAGAAAGGTGTGTGGGTGGTCCTTGTGGGGAACCAGAACTGAGAGGGTAGCAGTGCTGGGGCCCAGGAGACGCTCTTGCTCCCCAGGTCCTTGCCCTCCCAGGGATCAGGAGGGCATGATTTCCCCAAGGTGAAGGAACACGCTCCACGCCCCTCCTCGCAGCAATGACCTCTCACCTGCAGGCTTGAGGACCCCAGAGATTTACCTGGGGCAGTTCCCCGAGGCCTGTGCGGCTATTTCAAGCCAAGGCCTGGGAGTTTGATGGATTCTCAGAGCCTGACTGCACTTGCTAGACAGGTAGGACCTCAAGTTGGAGCTCCTATCTGGGTAGGGACCTGGTCTCCCATAGTGGGGCTGGGCTTATACGCCCCTGGGCTCCCTCGGTGAGAGGCTGCTCTTCTGTGGTCCCACTTCTGCTCCCAGAGGGCTCTTGCCGGTCAGCAGTGCAAATCAGGTGCCATTCCTATGCTCCGTGCTGGCTGGCTGTGGCCAACCTTTCTGGGCTGCCGCCCTGCCCCAGGGTCCCCTCCTCAGAGCAGTGGTGAATATGAATTCCACGAAAAAATTTCTTCAAGAATTACTTATTTCAAGCCAGACGCTATGGCACAGGCATGTAATCCCAGCAATTTGGGAGACTGAGGCGGGAAGATTGCAAGTTCGAAGTCTGCCTGAGCAACTCAGCAACTCAGTGAGACCCTGTCTCAAAATAAAATTTAAAAGGGGACAGGGACAGAGTGCCCCTGGGCTCAATCCCCAGTACCAGCCCCCCACCCTAATTTGCTTATTTCATTCTGATCACGTTTCTGAGTACAGAGGGAGGCTCAAAGTATGTTACAAACAAAAGCGGGTTTTGTGCAGTCTTGGAAGCCTTGGCGGGGCTTTTTCTTTAAGCATATTGGACTGAGTTGGGGAATTGGTTTGCAGTGAGGGAGGTGACCCAGTTGCTGAGAAATCTGGAGGCCACTGAGAGAGGGGAACATTGCTTGTCCGATCTGTGTTCCTCTACTAGGCACCAGGGAGCTGACTATGGTGGAGGAAGGACAAGAGTCCTGGCTTGGAAATATAGGTGCTTGACCATCCTGCCTCCTTGACAGTGATGACAGGTTAGCCTCAGGCTCAGAGTTGTGAGGGAGAGGAGGTGTGTGTGGAAGGTCTTGCTAAACAGCAAAGCACTTATAACTTTATTAATGTTAGACCTAATACTAATAGTTCAGGCGCTGTCATAATGTGCCCTCCTCTTTAGGATCCCTGCAGAGGGTTTGCCTCTGAGAGACCCTGTATTAACACTGGCCTGTCCTTCTTATTGTTTTGTTTGTTTATTTATTTATTTACTGGGGAATTAAGCCCAGGGATGCTGAACCATTGAGCTACATCCCCCGCCCTTTTTATTTTTTATTTTGAGACTGGGTTTCATTAAGTTCCTTAGGGCCTTACTAAGTTGCTGGCTTTGAACTTGCAATCCTCCTGTCTCAGCATCCCCAATGCTGGGATTACAGGTGTGTGCCACTGTGCCAGCTATTTATCTTTTTTGAGATGGGATTTTGCTGTCTGTATTGCTCAGGCTGGTCTCAAACTCCCAGACTCAAGCAATCATCCCATTTCAGCCTTCCAATAAGTGCCTGGCCTTATTATTATTTAAAAATTTACTCTTTAAATGTTGCCTAAAACCAAAAATTGTGCATATTAGCTGAGTGTTATGAAAAATGCTGATAAATGATTACATGTGTAATGTGTAAAAGCCATAGCCTTAATCCCCCAAAACCAAAGGCCAGATGTTCTGCAGATGTAACACCCAGTGGTGGGAAAAATTGGAAGTCCACTGGATTAGACAAAGGAGAAAGAAGGGAAGGGAGGGAAGATGGGAATAGGAAAGACAGTGGAATGAATCAGACATAACTTTCCTGTGTTCATTTATTGACTACACGACTAGTGTAACCCCACATCATCATGTACAACCACAAGAATGGGAAGTTACACTCCATGTATGTATATGTCAGAATACATCCTGCTGTCATGTATCACTAAAAAGAACAAATAAAAACTAAAAATTTTCAACATGAAAAAAACAACAACATGGCCTTATTATTTTTATCTAATGAGGTTAGACTTTGCCTTCCATGGCAAGATAAAGTTGTCTCTAATAAAAAATGCTGAACAATCAGGGCTCAAAAGCAACAATGAATATTTTGCATGCCAGGAAGGAGGCAAAGAAGTAGAATTATAACCAAATCATACTGATAAGAGATGTTATTTATAAAGTAGGCTTTTACAAGGGCCCAGGGGTTAGCTGATTGTAACTAAGGAAAGAAGCTCAGAAGGAAAGTCACCAGTAAGTTCCAGGCCTGAAATCCCATCTGCACATAAAACCTGAGGATCCTGGTTTCTCCTGAAACTGTCTGTCAGAGGTGAGTGGTGGACGCCCACCCTTGGGGCAGTGGCCCTCTCCAGCTCTCTGGGTCACCAGCTGAACAGTATCCTGGTAGCAGCAGGGCCGAGGCTGGCATGTAATGAGCACTGAGTGAAATCTGGGAATGGGAGTAACTCTGAGCTCTCCTTCTCCAAAGCCTGTTTTCTTTTTCTTTGTTTGTTGTTTTTGTATTTATTTATACTAGGGATTTAATCCAGGGGGACTTTACCACTGAACTACATCCCCAGCCCCCCAACTTTAAAAATATATATATATTTTATTTTGAGACAGGGTCTAAGTTGCTGAGGCTGGCTTTGAACTTGCGATCCTCCTGCCTCAGCCTCCCCAGTCCTGGGATTACAGGTATGTGCTAGTGCACTGGGCCCTAAAGCTGGTTTTCTGTAGCACCCCCACAGCCTATCCTTCCGTTTTGCTCCAGGGCTCTTATGTGAAACTTTGACCTTGGGATGGAGTCCTGGAAGAGATATCTGGGGCAAGTCTTGGCTGAGGAGGGAGGTGAGGAGGGTACCTTGAGCTTAGGAAAGGGCAATGTGAATTGTCTCTCAGACCATCAGAGGATTCCCACTGGGACTCTGGGGATGAGCCCTGAGGTGTATCCAGCCTGGAAGCCTTCCAGATATTCTGCAAGACCTGGCCAGGCCGGGACACGTGCCTCTAGAATTGTCTCCTCAAGCACTTTACCTTGAGTGTCCTGCCCTGGGCCAGGACTGTTGGAGCTACTGAAATTGAGGCCCTCTGCCCTGTGGATGTCACTTCCAAGCCACCTGGAGTGGGCCTGGCAGTGAATGCCAGTTTTTAGGGCTTTGTGGATCCAGTAGGTTACTCTGAATGGTCTTTGCTGAGAACAATTTAATGAGAAAGAAGGTCACTATCTTCACAAGTCTGAACTCCAACCAAATTTTCCTGATCCCTAAATATACCTTCAGGGATAAGGGAGTTGCTTAAGGAGACACAGGGAACTCTCTGACCCCAGGTTAGTGGTACAAGCTATTCAAGGCTTAAAGAGGACTGACTTTTTTTTTTTTTAAGAGAACCTAGGGCTGGGGATGTGGCTCAAGCGGTAGCGTGCTCGCCTGGCATGCGTGCGGCCCAGGTTCGATCCTCAGCACCACATACAAACAAAGATGTTGTGTCCTCCAAAAACTAAAAAATAAATATTAAAAAAAAAGAGAACCTAGAACACATTTCTTAAGTGGGGGATATTTCAAATACTATTACTCTTATTCATAATAATAATATAGCAATCATATGCTATATTATGCTAAAACTTAGCATATGCTAAAATTTAGTTCTAGTAAATTTAATCTTTGCAGCAATCTATGAAGTAAATAATATTTTTAAAAAATTTTTAAATTTTAATTTGTTACATATGACAGCAGAATGCATTACAATTCATATTATACATAAAGAGCACAATTTTTCATATCTCTGGTTGTACATAAAGTAGAGTCACACCATTTGTGTCTTCATACATGTACTTAGGCTAATGATGTCCGTCTCATTTCAACATTTTTCTTACCTCCATATCCCCTCCCTTCCCCTCCCTCCCCTTTGCCCTATCTAGAGTTCCTCTAATCCTCCCATGCGCCCCTGCCCCCACCACATTATGAATCCGCATCCTTAAATCAGAGAAAACATTCGGCGTTTGGTTTTTTGGATTGGCTAACTTCACTTAGCATGATATTCTCCAACTCCATCCACTTACCTGCAAATGCCATGATTTTATTCTTTTTTAATGCCGAGTAATATTCCATTGTGTATGCGTACCATATTTTCTGTATCCATTCATCTACTGAAGGGCATCTAGGTTGGTTCCACAATTTAGCCATTGTGAATTGTGCTGCTATAAACATTGATGTGGCTGTGTCTCAGTAGTATGCTGTTTTTAAGTCCTTTGGGTATAGATCAAGGCATGGGATAGCTGGATCAAATGGTGGTTCCATTCCAAGTTTTCCAAAGAATCTCCATACTGCTTTCCAGATTGGATGCACCAATTTGTAGTCCCACTGGCATTGTATGAGTGTCCTTTTCCCCACATCCTCGCCAACACTTATTGTTGTTTATATTCTTAATAGCTGCCATTCTGAATGGAGTGAGATGAAATCTTAGAGTAATTTTGATTTGCATTTCTCTAATTTCTAGAGATGTTGAAGAGGTAGATAATATTGTCATTCCCATGAGGGAGTTAAGGTTCAGAGAAGGTGAGTCATTTGTCTAAGGTCACACAGCTAGAATGCCATGGAATCAGGTGCTAAACCTGGTTGTCCAAATCAGAAGTCTATCTCCTTCCCAAACCTTTAGAGTGTTTGCTTTCTCCTTTATTTCTGGTATCCTTCATTTTGATTCCCTCTGAGCAGAGGATAGGAACCAGCCAAGTTTGCCTGGAATCCATCAACCAGGTCCTAGACACCTGGCTCCAGCCCAGTTTTGCCCTTCCCTTGCTGGGTGGCCTTGGGTTAAGTCACAACTTTTCAGCCTTCGGCTTTTCTGCATCTCACACAGAGGTTAATGGTGAGCTGCCTCCTGCAGCTGACGCCAGGCTAGGTGGTCCCACGGTGCAGCCTGGATTTTACCAGTATGGGAGCTGTGAAGGGAGGGGAGAGGTGGGGAAGTTGTCCTTAGCCCTACCCTCTGGTGACATCACATAAGACATCTTCAGTCCCTGGAAGCCCCGCCCCAGTGCCCCTTACCTGTGGAAGTGCCACCCAGTGCTTGGCATCTGGCAACTTTTCCCAGTCCCACAGCCGACGTCATCAGCCGCCAGGTTTGAGAGAAACATCTCAGGTACTCAGTGCAATTGGAGGGCCTGGCGGGGCGTGAGGAGGTGTGCAGGGCTGGGCTGGGCGGCCTGTTCCAGGTGGGGCCTGGCTGCTGAGGGCAGGCTGCGCACAGGATGCCCTGCTGGTCCCTCCAGACACCTGCTCCCTTCCTCTGGCTTAGGCTTGGCTCCTTCCTCTGCTCCCCCTCTTCCCTGGATTCAGGCCCTCTTTCCACGGACACAGGGGATGGGAATTAATTCTGAAAACAGATCTGTTGAGATGGGGCAGGGCCTCTGGCTGAGGCCTAAAGGAAATAGGGCAGCAGGAACTTTGTCACCCTAACATGATGCCTCTGGGTTCTGTCTTTAGGGCATACCATGTCTGGGGACATGGGGTTTGTGAGCAAGCGTTGTCCCCCTCCTGAGGAGGTTGCTGTGAGCCAGGGCTTCCCTGTGCAGAGCAAGTGAGTGACTGGCAGCTGAGGGAGGCTGAGTCAGCTGAAGCCTAAGGAGATAGTTCACGGGAAAGGACCCAGTTTTCTGCTTAGACCAGCATTGTCCAAAATCACCTGTGGGGGGCTGGGGATGTGGCTCAAGCGGTAGCGCACTCGTCTGGCATGTGTGCGGCCCGGGGGTTCGATCCTCAGCACCACATACAAAGATGTTGTGTCCGCTGAAAACTAAAAAATAAATATTAAAATTCTCTCTCTCTCTCTTAAAAAAAAATCACCTGTGGGATGCAAATGTGTATGACAGGAGGAGGGCAAGATCTGGAGCTGGTTCCAAACCTTGACTCTGCCACACGCACTCTCAGGCCTTAAGTAAGGAGCTCGTTATGTGCAGCAACAAAAATGGGCTTACTTTTTTTTTTTATTTTTTAGTTGTAGTTGGACACAATATCTTTATTTATTTATTTTTATGTGGTGCTGAGGATTGAACCCAGGGCCCCGCACATGCTAGGTGAGCACTTTGCTGCTGAGCTACAGCCCCAGCCGTGCTTACTTTGTTTTAAGTATTTATTTTTTAGTTGTAGTTGGACACAATCATCTTTATTTTATTTTTATGTGGTGCTGAGGATCGAACACAGGGACTTGCACATGCTAGGCGAGCGCTCTACTGCTGAACCATAATCCCAGCCCCAAAATGCGCTTATTAATACGCACCTCACAGGGAAATGAGAATTAACTGCAGCAGGGCTGTAGAGATGAGCATATAGTGAACACGTGACATTTGTGCTGATTTATAATGCAATTACTGGGAAAGGAGTCCTTGCTACGTAAGCTTAGAACATGTAGGTTCAACAAAGCTAAGTAGACAGACATCTTTGCTGCGGGACTTCTCAGAGCCTTTAATGTGCTGTTACGCCTGGGGAAGTTCCAAGAATGGGATACGGAACTTAGGACTGGACATAGCAGATTATAAGGACCCAGTAACGAGGGCAGTGTCATTCCCTGGTCCTTTCCCCATGGCAGAGTGGAAACCTTGCTGGGATGGCAACTCTGGGAAGGCTCTGGTTTCCTCGTGTGATGCAAGGAAGCTGCATGAGATGCCTCTGGAGGCCTTTTCTGGCCCCTGAGCTCCTGAGTTAGGAAGCCATGATGGTGGACAAGGGTGCAAGGCGAGGTCAAATGGTTGCAGCTGAAGCCCAGTCTCTTAGGGGAGGAAAAGGTCCTGCACTGGACTCCCAGTTCGCAGGCATGTTCTCATACTCTGGGTGGAAGTGGACCCACGAATTAGTCCATCAGCACAACGTGCCCTGTGCCAGGCTCTCTGGGATAGTGCGATAGCTGGCACTGTGGTAGGTAGCTGCCTTAGCTGGCACAACACCAAGAAGACATAGCTTCGATAGCTGGCACTGTGCGGTGGTGAAGGACTTATTAACTTCTGCCTCCTGCTGGGCTAGGAAAAGCCAGGTGCCAGGGCCAACTCCAGAATCCAGTGTGTGTGGGGGACAGCTTAAGGTTGGGGTCAGGCTGGGGTGGAAGTGAGGGCGGGGCTGGTACACTGCCTCTGGGTAGCTAGCGCCCTGCGTTAACTTGGACTGTATGAATTACTGGTGGCTTTGGAAGTGATTACCTTGCTGCTAGGGACAGGGAACCGAATTCTTTACCCTGCCGGCACAGTGGCTGGGGCAAAGGTGGTTGCAGTTGAAGTCTGATGAACAATGAGTCCAAAAGAGTCCAAAAAGCTTGTTGGAGGGGATGCAGTTGGTGGCAGGGCATGGGGGGGAATAATTGGGCAGGTTTTTCAATAAATAGTTAATGAATGTTGATAAACCTGAATTGAGCAAGGGATACCAGGCAAAACAGTGCAGTTGTGAAGTGACTAATGGCACTTGCCACCTCATCTTGCAAAGGCCAGGTTGGCGTGGTGGTTAAGGGTCCAGGCTGACTTTGGCATGTGCCTCTGCACTTCCTGGCTGACTGGGTGGGCAAGGTACTTTATACCTGTGCCTGGGTTTCCTGTTCTGGAACATGGGAATAAAGACCGCGTCTCCCCCACAGGGTCAATCATTACTGAATGCTGTTTGGCTCCTGGCTGGTGCTGTGTAAGCATTTGCTGTTGCTGTTCCTTTCTGTAGCCTCTCCCAGGTCATGGGATTCCCAAGGGCAGGGGTTGGATTCTTTTCCACTGTGCCCTGTCCAGGGTCCATCACCCGTCTGAGGCACAGCAGGCTCAGGATCTGATAGGCGAATGAATGAATCGATTGTGTCACCTATTGTAGGTCAAAGGGAAAGCAGGGAGGGCATTAAGGAGGCCCCCAGAAGGGGAAACTTGTACTGGCCTCAGAGGATTTCAACTCAGGGAAAGGTAGTCAGTGTGACATTGGGGTTAGGTGGGAAATGAGGGTTGGAGCAGTTCATAGGGCCTGGAGTGCCAGGATGAAGGGTTAGTTTGATTTATTTGGAATCAGAAATGTGCACAGTGGGAAAACTGGCTGAGGAGCAACAGGAGAGTGGAGGTGGGGGCTGAGGGGAAGGGCTGTTTTTATAGGATTGGTTGTTAGCTGGGGACTTTCAGGATAAAAAGTAGCTTTTGGAGTTGGACCTTGAAGGGCATGAAGTGTTATCAGAATGCTACCATGTTGTCCTTTTATTCAGCAAATACTGAGTGTCAGTCTCTTGCGAAATACCAGGGGTGCGCAAAATAATCAAACTGTCTGCCTTCATTGAGCGCTGGTCAGCAATTTCAGTGTCTGTGAGAAGTGTCGTAACAGCCACAGGATAGTCTGAAGGACAGAAGAAATAGGTTTTGAGGGATGAATAGGAGTTTGCCAAGTAGGCTAGATGGGAAAATGTCTCGGGAACGGCCTGTGCAAAGCTGTAGGCGTGTGAAGCAGCAGTCCTAGGGGCCTGGTGAGGCTGTGCCTGGGGCTGAAGTGCGCTGTGGTTGAGCAGCAAGGCTGAGAAGGAAGAAGTCACCGGTCAGATGGGGAAATGGAAGATCAGCGGGAGCCCCTGGCAACTCTGAAGGGCTTTAGAGGCAACAGGTCTGTTAACGGGTCACTGTCCTACCAGGTGAACACTAATGGGGGCACAAACTTGGGCTGAGAGCACCTGCCCTTCTGGAGTGTTCTGCGTGGTGAGTCTGGACTGGACTGGAGGAGGGCAGACACCTGGGCTGCTGTGGGGCTGACATTGACCGTGTGTGCGTCAGACGCTGTTTCAGGCTCTTAGGGAACAAAGCAGTGCTCTGGCTTCCTGAGGTAGGATCTGACTCTTCTCAGGATGGTTCCCTCCTCAAACCCAGAGCAGGAACAGGGCTGTGGGAAGAGGGAGGAGAACCTGGGCATCAGAGCCGGGCTGCTGCTGGCGGGGCGAGCTGCACACCAGGCCCTTGACTCCTCTCTGGTTTATCTCGCAGCTCCCTGTCCAGGCCCCCAGCCATGGCCATGGCGGTAGCCCAGAAGTTCAGCCACCTCCTGTCCAGCCTGTGGCACATCGGCCAGGAGCCTCTGCAGCCGGAGCCGGTCTTCACGGTGGACCGAGCGGAGGTGCCGCCCCTCTTCTGGAAGCCCTACATCTACGCTGGCTACCGGCCCCTGCACCAGACCTGGCGCTTTTACTTCCGCACGCTGTTCCAGCAGCACAATGAGGCCGTGAACGTGTGGACCCACCTGCTGGCGGCCCTGGCGCTGCTCCTGCGGCTGGCCATCTTTGTGGGGACCGTGGACTTGCTGGGAGACCCGCACGCCCTGCCGCTCTTCATCATCGTCCTGGCCTCCTTCACCTACCTGTCCTTCAGCGCCCTGGCCCACCTCCTGCAGGCCAAGTCCGAGTTCTGGCATTACAGCTTCTTCTTCTTGGACTACGTGGGTGTGGCCGTGTACCAGTTTGGCAGTGCCCTGGCGCACTTCTACTACGCCATTGAGCCCGCCTGGCATGCCAGGGTGCAGGCCATCTTTCTGCCCGTGGCTGCCTTTCTGGCCTGGCTCTCCTGCACCGGCTCCTGCTACAACAAGTACATCCAGAAGCCAGGCCTGCTGGGCCGCACTTGCCAGGAGGTGCCCTCAGCCCTGGCCTATGCGTTGGACATCAGCCCGGTGGTGCACCGTATCTTGGTGTCCCCTCACTCTGACATAGACGACCCAGCTCTTCTCTACCACAAGTGCCAGGTGGTGTTTTTTCTGCTGGCTGCCGCTTTCTTTTCTACCTTCATGCCTGAGCGCTGGTTCCCAGGCAGCTGCCATGTCTTTGGGCAGGGCCACCAGGTTTTCCATGTCTTCTTGGTGTTGTGCACCCTGGCTCAGCTGGAGGCAGTGACGCTGGACTACGAGGCCCGTCGACCCATCTATGAGCCTCTACACACACGCTGTCCCCACAACTTCTCCGCCCTCTTCTTGCTCACTGTGGGCAGCAGTGTCCTCACTGCGTTTCTTCTCAGCCAGCTGGTACGGCGAAAACTCAACGAGAAGACCAAGTGAAGGGAGGGGCAGCCGGTAGGGAGGGGTATGGTGGGGGACAGGGGTTCGGGCTTGGCCCCAGATAGGAACAAGGCCTGGTAAAGTTGTTTGTGTCTGGCCCGCGGTGACTCCCTGCACATACCCCAACTGTCAAGGATGGCACTGGCCAACCTTTAGACTTAGGGATTGGCCAGTTGCTGCTGGGTCAACTCTGGATCTGCCTAGCTCCCCGCTTGGGACAGGGAAAAAGATGAAGGTGTGGGCCACCCTGGCTTTCTCTCCACTGCCTCCCACTAGGGGTGAAGGTGGGACTCTGCTGGGGTTAAGACCCTGTATTGGGGCTTGTGGATTGTCTGGGTGGATGGTAAAACTTAGACCAGAGTTACATTTGAGTTGAGAGGCAGGGGAGGCTTCAGTAACCCACCTCTACCCACTTTTTATCAGTAGAGAGGAAAGGGACGGGCTCAAATATGTGCAGGACCTTACTGTCCCTTGAGCCCCAGCCTGGATCAGAGCTCCAGGGAGCCCCAAAAGGTAGAAGACTGTGCCAGGCTCAAGGAGATCCCAATCAGTGCCACATATCCAAGTCACTGCCCCAGACAGTGAGCCCCAAGCCTCCTAGCTCTGGCCTGTGTCCCACACAGCAGTTCCCAGATCTCTTATTCATGATTCAGTAATCTATCCAGTGCGTCCTTGGCCTCTTCTCGGAGGCAGGCCACCCACCAGGCCCTGTGGTCAATGCAGGATCACAGAGGATTTAATACCAGAATGAACTGTCAAGGAAGAAGGGAGAAGAGAATAAGTGTTCCCCAGGGTACCCAGGGTCTTGGCTGGGAAGAGTGAATAGGAGTTTGCAGACAGAATAGGGCATTCCAGGCAGAGGGGGAAACCTGAGCAAAGGTCCAGATCCACAGGAGGAGCTCAGTGGGTCTGGAGCCAGGGCTGCTTTGGACTTTTGCTATGTCCTGGATATAAATAAAGTGACTGTGATAACAGCTGCAGCTTTGCTTTTTGTGTCCTGTTCTAGGGAGGGAGCCCTGCTCATGATATTGGGGGAGGTTTTCCCCGTTAAAGTTGGAGCCTCTGAGGGTAGAGGGGAGGAATTCCTGTTTTATCTTTGCCCGGGCAGGTTGGGGTCTTATTTTACAAAGAGTGGTATATGTAATAGACACACACCCATATGTACATATATATGACTTAATTTGGCAAGGGAGTAGGGAGAGTTTCATTACTAAGTTTGAGGAGTACTTAAAAGAATGTGTATAAAATATACAGAGTCCCACTTTTTTTTTTGTTTTTTTCTTCAAGGATTTTACGTTAACTTTTATAATACTGCTTTTCTCATAGTACATGAGCAATATGTATATAATCAAGAAAAATTAGAAAAAAACCCCCAAATGAATAAGAAATATACCACTGCTAAAATATTATGGGGGACTATATGTATACGTAAATGTAATATATTGATGAATATTTTGATATATTAAAATATATAATGTATGAAACATGCATCGCGCGCGCGCACACACACACACACACACACACACACACCCCTGAAGATTATGGTCTGGCATAGGAAGCATTTTGCATTTGTGAAGGGCTTTCAAAATTAAAAAGTACTTTCACAAATGTTACCTCCCTTGTTCCTCTGCAAAGTGCTACACACTGAAAGCTTTTTTTTTTTTTCCCCTTTAAGAGGAAGGTCTTGATAAGTTGCCCAGGCTGGCCTTCAACTTTTTTTTTTTTTTTTTGCTATGCTGGGGATTGAACCCAGGGTCGCAAGAGTTTATCGCTGAGCTACATACTTCACCAGCTCCCCGCAACCAGCTCGACTCCAATTTTTTTACTTCACGTTTGCAAAATCCTCTTCTATGTGGTTTAGTAGTGATGTTTAGATTTCTGTTTTAATTACGAAAGTCACAAGCTCCTCTGATACTAGCTTTGGAGTCGGGGCCAGGCCCTCGGTCTGCCGCTTCCTCGGGGACGAATGACACAGGAAGGCCCCCCGAGCCCCGGGGTATTACAGTCATAGTAAAAAGCGCAATTCGGCAACGCCCAAATGCGCGTTCCCGGCCCGCCGTCGAGAACCCATTCACACAGCAGGGCTTCTGGAATACTCCTGAGAAGAGGATCAGAAAGAATCGCAAGCCCAGCGCCGAACTCGCCCAAGGATGTGCCGTTGAAGCCGTTAACGCAGCGGGCGGAGCTTCGGGGGGCGTGGCTTCACGGCGACAGGCTCTTCCGGGGCGGGGCTTGAGTCCAGACGGCCGCGGTGTGGCTCCGCCTCGCGTAGCTCCGCCCCCCGCGTTGGCGCGAGTTCCGAACGTTGGCGGAGGCGGCCTCGGCGGTCTCCAGAGGCGTCCGGCGCGGGTTCCCGGGTTCCAGTTGGCTCGGTCTCCTCAGCTGTCATGAAGCGGAAAGGCCCGGAGGAGAAGGAGGCGTGCGGCGTGTGGCTCGACGCGGCGGCGCTGAAGAGGCAGAAAGTGCAGGTGGGATGAGGGCGTGTTGGGGAGCGGGTAGGCCCTGGAAACCATGGAGGTGAAGTCCGGGACCCGGCAAGGAGCAGCTTCGGGGATTCACAGGCCAGAGGGGTTGAGTTCGAAGAAGGCTGAAAATGGGTCTGGAGAGGGAGGAAGGAAGCAGCTGGCCTTGGAGGGCTTTGAAGACCCCGGGGCTGCGAAGTTTGGAGGCGGGGAGAGGGCGGCGCCAGAGCTTGCGGGGAGGAGTTGGGCTGAGCAGACCCCGCCGGGGCGGTCCTCCTGCGAGACGGTACCTAGTAGAGGCTGAAGTACCGGGTGACAGGTGCCTATGCAGATTTGGAAAATGTCAGCTTGACGGTCTGTTTCTACCGAGCTTGCCAGGTCGCAGGACATCCATCTTCCAGGAACCAGTAACTTCGGGGGCGGGGGCGAACAGAAGATTCTGGAGGGGGATCTGGTGCGCCAGATACTGTGTTAAGTACTTAATGTGCGTTGTATGTATCATTACTCTCCCTGGGAATGAGGAAACTAGCTGTGTAACTAACCCAAGAGAGGCTCAACATCACGCCCAGCCAGATGTCTTTAGTCATTGTAAAGACAACTTGAATTGGATTAGAGGATTCCCAACTAGTGTCTGCTGCAGCAGCATTGCTTACTAGGTGGGTAGGAGGGGGGAAGGAAGGAAGGAAGGGAGGGAGGGAGGAAGGGAGGAAGGAAAACCAAGCACCAGGTGTCAGATTTTTTTTTTTTTTTTTTGAGAGACAGGGTCTCACTGACTTGCTTAGTGCCTCAAGGTTGCTGAGGCTGTCTTTGAACACAGAATCCTCCTGCCTCAGCCTCCCAACCCACTGGGATTAAGGCTTGTGCTACTTCATCAAACCCTGGCGTCATGTGTGAGAGTCTTCCCCACTTTTACTCTTCCCCATTTTTACAAGCGCCAGAAAAGAGCACTAAAATGTCCCTTTCACAGGATGTCGAAACCTCTTCTTAGAGTGTCTAAGGCATTTAGGGCAGTAGTTAGTGGACAGTGTTTTGAAAAACCTGCCTCTTCCCACTTGATCCCTGAACAGAACTGTTTGCTATTTTGGGGAAAATAGGGGTGCTTTGTAGTTTGACTAGAAGACTGTAGAGGCCTACATTTGGAGTGAGTTTGCTTCTCTCCTGATCTTACAACTCATAGGCATGACAACATTCACCTTATCACTTAGGCCTTGGTATGGAGGATACTGGATTTTTTTCCTCCCCCTCCCCGCCTCCTCCCCCTCCTCCCAATACCTTTGTTTTATTTATTTATTTTGTAGGGTGCTGAGGATGGAACCCAGTGCCTCACACATGCTAGACAAGAGCTCTACCACTGAGCCATAACCCCAGCTCTTTTCCTTCCTTCCTTCCTTCCTTCCTTCCTTCCTTTTAATTAAGAACATAATACAGGGCTGGGGTTGGGGCTCAGCGGTAGAGCACTCGCCTCTCATGTGTGAGACCCTGGGTTCCATTCTCAGCACCACATAAAAATAAATAAGCAAGGGCTGGGGATATGGCTCAAGCGGTAGCGCGCTCGCCTGGCATGCGTGTGGCCCGCTCGCCTGGCATGCGTGTGGCCCGCTCGCCTGGCATGCGTGTGGCCCGGGTTCGATCCTCAGCACCACATACAAAGATGTTGTGTCCGCCGAAAAACTAAAAAATAAATATAAAAAAAAAATTCTAAATAAATAAGCAAAATAAAGATATTGTGCCCATGTATAACTTAAAAAAAAAATCATAATACAAGTTTGTAAAGAATAAAAAAATCAAATAGTGTAGAATTGTATTGAATAAAAGGCCTCACTGGTGGATACTAATGTTTACAATTTAGGGTCTTTTTTTTTTCAGGGCCTTTTATGTATTTATATAAATACACTAGACCCCCGTGGTTGCCTGAAACCTCGGATAGTATTAACTCTTATATATGTTATGTTTTTTTCATATATATATAAAATAAAGTATATACATATAATATATATAAAGTCTTAGTTTATAAATTAAGCACAGTAAGAGGTTAACAACAATAATTAATAATAAAATAGAACAATTATAAAAACAGTTGTAATGAAGCATGGGAATGTTTTTCAGAGGCCACAGGGAGGGTAGTATATGCAACATGAATGTGCTGGACAAAGAAATGACTCACATTCTGCTAAAGCAGGATGGTGTAGAATTTCATCATCCCACTCAATGACAATTTAAAACTTAAGAATTATTTATTTTTGGAATTTTCATTAATATCTTTGGATCTTGGTTGACTATGGGTAGCTGAAACAGCAGAAAACAAGAACTTGAATAAAAGAGGACTATTATATATACATATATATTTCCTTTACACATTATATCAGACGTTTTGTTCTGCTGCTACTATTTTACCAAATATATGCTGGAAAACTTCCTTATGAAAGATACAGATATGTATGTAAGTATGTATTTTTGTGGTGCTGGGGATTGAACCCAGGGCCTTTCATATGCTGGGCAAGAACTCTTCCACTGAGCTACATACAACCCCAGCCTGACAAAAGTTTTAGTATGAGATTATAAATGCTGTTTCAATTTATACAATTTTTAAATTTTGTATTTTAACTATTTTTCCTCTACGTTAAAACTTTGAAAAGTAGTTCTAACAGAAGTTTTTCTACACAGTAAAGATAAAATTATTTAGAATATGATTTGTTATTTGCTGTTTTTAGTTGTATATTTCAAGGTCATTATATTTAATTTAAAAATAATTTTTGTATTCCACCTATAATACAATTTAGTTTTTTGTTCTTGAACTAAGTAGCAGAGAAGGAAAAATGGATATAACTAAGAAAAATAACCAGGTGTGGTTGTGTATGCCTGTAATTGCATTGGTTTAGGAGACTGAGACAGGAGGATTGCAAGTTCAAGGCCAGCCTCAGCAACTTTGTGAGGCCGTAATCAACTTGGTGAGACCCTGTCTCAAAAGTTAAAAAGAAACAAAAAGGGCTGGGGATATAGTCCCCTCTGGGTTAATCTCCAGAATCAAAGAAAATAAAAGGAAGAAATGAAAAGAAAAATAGAAATAGGAAGATACTTGAAATCTTGGATGAGTCTTCAGTGGTATCTGGAGCAGCTTTCATGGAACATTGAATGCCACCTGATATTACTAACATTCAATTCATCAGAGATTCTTTGGACCCTGTCTTCAAATGTGTTCAGAATCTTATCATTTCTCACCACTTCTACCACTGCTACCTGAGCTAGAATGACCTTTTGCTAAATTGCTTTGTTAAATTTAATTCCATCATCCCATAAAAACCAGAATCTTTTTGAAGATCTGTAAGTACCATCTGGCCATGCATGTCCTCTTAGATCCATCTAGTTCACTTAGCTCTGCTTTACTCTGTTCTAGTCATACTGACCTCTTTGCTGTTCTTCAAGCCAAGTATACCTCAGTTTGGCATCTTTATATATCTCTGCTTAAAATGCATAGGGGCGGGGCTGGAATTGTGGCTCATCGGTGGAGTGCT